TTTCAACATGAGATACTCACATCATTTCCACAATTAATGTTCAACAAACAACATCCTTCATGCATAGTCATTCTCACAACCAACATTCGGTATATGACATCATCTTATGCAAATCATTACCGAAATACAATCGTCATGTTTTTCCATGCATCACTTACCTCTTTTTGTTTTCATGCAAGTCATGATAGCATTTTTAGAGAATCGGTAACATGAACATCTATAATTCAATTAATCAGCAAGATAAATATCGACAACACAAAGATCGACCACGTGATTAATCGACAACACTTAGAAAACCTTGAATATATGAGAATTAACTTTAATCGGTTATGGGTCTCCCCGATTTACTAGTTTTAAGGACCGAATTAAAGGACTAATTCGAATGATCTTCGGCACGGCGATACCGATAATATCCGAAAGATCGTCGGCTTGTCGACTATCGGTAAGATCGTTGTCTTGTCGACTATTAGTAACTTCTTGCTGCGTTCGGCAACTTTCCACGGAAATCAACAACTTCTTACACATAGCATTCGAATTCAAACTAAAATATCAACTATCATACAATCAAGTCAAGAGTACCAAGTAGAATAACCTAACTTAGTCCCTAGAGCTTTCACTTACCTCGAAAATGACTTGTGTAAAGATCAAGCTTAAATCCCTTCAAAGCAAAACAAACAATAATGTAAATCAACAACTCTAGCTTTTAAAACGATAAAACCCATTTATGGAAGGTACAGGAAATTAATGATTTATCTTGACTAACTCGAAAGATTGGAGCAAAACTATAATAATATGAACGTGAGACCTTCACTTTTACTCTTGGGAATTGAAAGCGAGAATCGAGAGGAAGTGAGAAGTTGAATGGTGAAATAATTGGGGACGGGTCTTAGCTTGAGAGCTCTATCTCGGCAAAGAGTGAAGAAATAAGCTAACTCAATCATGGTTAAAGTAAATATGTGCTCCTAGGGTGAAATCATTAAACTTACAGGTAGAGAGGTAAGTTGTTCCAATAAGAATGCTTCATGTGGCGCTAAGTAAATAACTAGGCACAAGTGGCTCAACAAGATTAGCCGCAAGGGAAGATATTTCGGGAGAATTCATCTCCATCGTCCAAATGGGGAGTGATTCAACAATGGCATTTATGGGCTAAGGTTAAATTAGATGAGGTAGCACATTATGTCATCAAGGGCATATGATATAGATCAAAGAAGGACAAATGGCTCAATCACATGGTTTCGAAAGTAGATGTTTAATAATTGCCAAACACTAGCTGAATCGGTTAGAAAACAAGAGAACTAGTATCCGTTTAAAAACATTGATGACTAAAAAATATTTTGAATCCGTCCAAACCTTTAGCAAAATTTTCCGAGCATAAGAAAATACCCAATTTAATACATTACCAACTCAACATTCAAGCGGCAAAAGAATTTTCGAGGTATAACAATCTCCGTCGGCAACTAACATGGCGATACGTGTATCATCGTCACTCTAGAAAATCAATCCATAAGTAATTATTCAATAATTAATTGCTAGTAGACCCATTCACCGAAATTATGAGCATAATAATTTAGTTCAGGCATTCCGTTACCGCCACGTTAATCGTTCGACTTGGATTTTCACCTACAATAATTACCACATCTAAATTCTTACCTATTGATAAACGTAGGGAAATTTTTCGGATGTCACACGACATCCCACCTTAATGCTCGTGATAAAGAAACGTAGCACAAAGACGGCGAAAATTTATGAAAGTCATGCGGAGCGAGGGAATGACTTGCCTATGAAGCAAACATCATATGGTTAGCAAATGGAAGAACAGGCTGCAGTGATTCAAAATTTAGATGATCTTCTTTCACTAATTAAGTCCCACTCGTGTTGATTTTTTGTGTAGCTTTGCTTGTCATCCTTGTCGTCTGCATCTAGTACTAGTCAATGAACTTTACTAGCGTGCGTAACTTCACGATTCTTAATCAACCGTCTCATGAGAGCTAAGTATCTTTTGTTAGTGAAGAATAAACTTGATCAACCAGCAGATACCTCGAGCATGTTTGGGCCTACCCGAGTCCGATCGGGCAAAATGGGCCAGTTGGGCAAGCGATTCCTGTCTGAGCCTAATCTGTCTGCCAGCCCGCTAGGCCCATTTCATTTTTGTAGAAAACCTAATGAATTTAAGCATGAGGGATGATCAGACAGGGACTTCTAGGACGAGTACTAGGTCCGGCCTGCCCAAGCCTTTAGTGAAAGACGGTCGCGGAATTTTGTTAGGTGGCCGGTCGTGCTTCGTCCCACGTCGGATGAGCGAGATCCACGCCCCGTCGTTAAATCGCCGGCGAGTTCGACCAAAGAGTTAGGGCCACAAGAGGAGGATGCGTCCATGCTATATCAACTTCAACATGGGCAGCCAGCCCAGCCATTGTAAGGGAAACGAAAGAGAGAAGACTATCACTGGGTTACGCCACTCCTCTTTCTCTCTCGACTTTTCGAATTTTTGAGAGTTAGATTCGTGCAACTAAAATCCCAAGTAGGAAGCACGTTTATCTTTCGCATTCAAAGCCGATAATGAAAATTTATAGGAGTTACGGTGGGAAAATTAGTATGCTTTTATCTGGGGAAAAAGTACCAAAAAAGTCCTAAACCTTTTGCATTGGTGCCAATTTAGTCCTAAACCTTTTTTTTGTGCCAATTCAGTCCTAAACCTTTTGCATTGGTACCAATTTAGTCCTAAACCTTTTTTTGGTGCCAATTAAGTCCTAAACCTTTTAAATTGGTGCCAATTCAGTCCTAAACCTTTTGTTTTTGTGCCAATTTTGACCGAAATTTACCGACGTGGACGCCGCGGCCTCCGGCGAGGGCTCGAGCCTCGCCATGGTCGGGCGAGGCCTGACCTCGCCGGATCTGGCGAGGTCGAGCCTCGCCCGACCATGGCGAGGCTCGCCCTCGCCGGGCGAGGCCGCCGCAGTCGCCAGTGGCCGGCGAGGTCGAGCTCGCCGGCCTCTGGCCTCTGGCCGGTCGCCGGAGGAAGGAGGGCGGACCAAAAAAAAAGTGGAAAAAAAAAGAAAAAAAGGAAAAAAAATAAAAATTCAAACAAATATTAAAATATTATTAAAGTTGTCCACGTCAGCGCCACGTCGCGCCAGTGACCGGCCGCCGGCCGGCAGGCGTCCACGTCGGCAAATTCCGATCAAAATTGACCGGAAGGACTAAATTGGCACAAAAACAAAAGATTTTGGACTGAATTGGCACCAATTTAAAAGGTTTAGGACTTAATTGGCACCAAAAAAAGGTTTAGAACTAAATTGGAACCAATGCAAAAGGTTTAGGACTGAATTGACATAAAAAAAAAGATTTAGGACTAAATTGGCACTAATATAAAAGGTTTATGACTTTTTTGGCATTTTTCCCCTTTTATCTGACCACGTGCTCTATCGCTGCCTAAAAAGGTGGAATGCTTATTATTATTTCTTTCGTTCATTTATCTCGAAACCAACTCTCCTTAAAAGGAAACTTCACTTGCACGCTCTGAAGTTCAGAGCCTGCTTTGCTCCACTTTTCTTTCTTAGGATTTGATTTTATATATTTTTGCTCTCACAATCTAATTTGGCAGTCTTTTTTCGCCTCGTTTGATGTCTTTTTTCTCTCGTTGTGATAGCTTTTCTTTGCTCGCCATGGCGAATAAATCTTTTTGCAATTAAAAACTTTGTGAGAACGTTATCACCAGTCCATCCAGCACGATGTCCGGGACATGGTTCTATGACTTCTCCGGATTCGGCGAAAGCTCTCTTCTCCCCATTTAAGTCTATATTTAACCCTGGGAGTTCCTTAGAGGCATTCGATCTATGGGAGTTCAACGTGTTGTTGTTGTTGTCGTCTTCGTCGTCTTCTCCGCACGGCTATGGTGTTGAGGGCGTCGAACCTAGGCTCATATTGCAAGTCATGGTTTCTAGAGGGGAAGATCTCGGTGTGTGCCCATAAGTGACGATTCCGGTGATCGGCCATCGACTGTTTTTTCATGTTATTTTAGGATGAGAGCGTGCTCATAGATGCGGGCTATACTATTTTGTTTTCGGGTTTTGTTTTATTTTGCATCTCATTGGGATTTGCTTTACTTGTAAGTTTTCTACATTCCTCTCATGTTTGATCTCGATAAATGAATGAAATTTTCTTTCGACAAAAAAAATGTGGAACTCTCTGATTTGATTTAATCATAACTAATATCTTGATGCAGTAATTTGTTAACCAATAGTTATTTGATTGCGGTAGATTATAGGGAGGCTCGTCTAACTAATATCTTGGGTTCGTTTGTTTGAAGGAAAACTATTTTCGAGAAATTATTTTTCGACTTTACGGTGTTTGGATGATGAAAAACTAATCGATTGACGAGAAACGTTTTTTTGATGGATTGAAAACAATAAGCTTAGTTTTGGGAAAACGACTTCCGATTCTAGTAAGAAGGAGATCACTTTTCCCAAAACACCAAGCAAATGAAAAACTGATTGTTTTCCATGAAAATGATTTCCATAGATAATATTTTCCTTTATCACGAAGTTTTCGGCGAAACAGACGCACCACCCATCATTTGATCTATAGATGTAGTCGTTACCGTAACTTATAGAAACAACAAAACGAATAGAAATATATCAAGACCGCGCCGCCAGGGGTGGGGCCACAAAACAAGCACGAGCAGTCAACGGTGGTGGTGGTGCCGCCGCCGCCGCCGACGGTATATGCTCGGACGAGAAGAGGGTCGCCGGAGACGGTCGTCGACTGGGGGGGTCATCCGCGACGGCCCCGCCGCCGATGGAGGAGCTCGAAGGGGGGGAGGGGGAGGAGAAGGGCCGAGCCCCTCTTTATTGGGCCAAAAAGTTTGGGCCGCATAGCCCACCGGGCCCAATAAACAGAACAAGCGTCACTCATGCGCTCTACCTATCTCACTTGACTCTTTCCTCTTTTTTCTTTTCTTTTTTTTTTTTGGGGTTATTTTCTCTCTCTCAAATCTCAGCTTCGACCATTCCAACCCCCCTCTCTCTCTCTCTCTCTACCCTCGCCGTTGATTCGCCGAAACCCTAGCTCCACCTCGCCGGAGATACCGATCCGCCGGTGAGTCCATCTCTTCTTCTTCGGAGGCTGTTCCGTTTCCTCTCAGCTCGGCTCCTGATGGACGCGCGTGCGGGAGGGGGGCTCTGACGTTTTCTTTCTTGGTTTTCTCGTGTTCAGATGACCGTGCGATTAGCGAGAGCTGAGGATTGAGCGGGGGGGCGGGCGGCGGCGGCTTGGCCTGGCTTTGGATTCGTTCGCCGGATGGAGGGAGGTAGCGTCTCTAGACTTTTGCTTGTTCCGGTACTGTTCATTTCCTTACCTTTACTGTGTATTTGGCTTTGCGAAACGACGTTGCTTTGCGAACTGTGAATTAGGTCCCCCATATGCGTTGCCTTGTGCCCCCGACGACTGAATTTGATAACTGGGGTCGGAAGTAGGAGGAGTTGTGTGGGGGGCGGGCGGCGGGGCGGTTCGCTTGCTGCTCGAATGAGCTAATGCATCTTGGTCTTCTTTTGATTTAGTTGTCAGGTCTGCATATGTTCGGCTCGGCCTCAGGGGCATTACGGGACCTTTGCAGTCGCGCTCGTTCCAGCATGATTTTGTCCCCAGGGATCCCAATGCCAAGCCTAAGAGGTATAAATACCCGGCTTTTTATGATCCGTACGGCCCTAGACCTCCGCCCTCGGATAAAATCATGCAGCTTGCCGAGCGCATTGCTGGAATGACGCCCGAAGAGCGTGCCCAAATTGGGCCTGCTCTTCAGGAGAGACTAAGGCATCCCAAGATGCAGACGATCTCTACCGAAGGCATGGACGTAGGCCCGCATGGAGGAGCGGGCGCAGGATCCGCCAAGGCCGAGGAGAAAAAGGCGGAGAAAACAGCATTCGATGTGAAGCTGGAGAAATTCGATACGGCCGCAAAGATTAAAGTGATTAAAGAAGTCAGGGCATTCACCAATTTGGGGTTGAAGGAGGCTAAGGACCTTGTCGAGAAGGCCCCTGTTTTGCTTAAACAGGGTGTCACCAAGGAAGAGGCAAATGACATAATGGAGAAGATAAAGGCTGCTGGAGGAGTTGCGGTGATGGAATGAGAGCTCCAACACGGAACCACTGTCGAGAGCTATATTATGGGTAAAGTAACTCACATGAACGACTTTATGATTTTTGGACCTTTTGTTGAGATGGTTCTTGACAAATTACAGCCATCTGGTGGAGTTGAGAATTGCGGGATGGCATTCGAGTTACATTCATCTGAATACTTAGCTGGAACTTGCTATACAGATGGAGTAATTCGCTTGAGTTTTGGTTTGAACATGTTGTAAAAGTCTTGATGAATTGTTTTAAGTTTCTTGCTAAATGAGCAAAAAGGTGGGTTGCTGGTGTCGTAATAAAGAACTGTTGCTCCTGGGGCTTGATTGGAACCAACACATTCTACAGTCATGGATGTCTACGAGGTATACATTTTCTTGCACTGATAATGATGCTGGAATTGTGTAAACAATCTTTGTCGGATTGATGAGATCAAATGCACTTCTTTTTCCTCATCTCTTTGGGAGAATTAGCATTGTGTTTGCCATTGGTATGATGAGACGGTGACAGATATTATATTCTTGCAAGTGGATTGTGCTCTCAGTGATGTTTTCAGATGAGCTGTGGCATAGCCAGGGTCGTCTGCCCTCTCTTGTGGCTTGGTGAGGGTCGTCGGCCCTTGTCGAGGCCCTGGCGAGGACAGGGCAGCTGCGCCTTGTATTTACACCGGCATGGACCTGGTGCGCGCCGGAATAAGCTGGTTTAGTAGTAGCGTGCCTGTTGCCTCGACCTGATGTGCTGTACATGTGCCCTTTCATTGTATAAACTACTGACTATAGTGGACGACTCTGTAATGTTATTTCCACATCTTCTTTTCACCTCGCGACGGGTGATTTGACATCTTGACGATTCAAATTGGTTAAGAGTCTCCGTTTATTTCGTGTGAAATGAATGATTTGAAAAATACTTTTGCAAAAATAATTTCTTGTAATGCTTACAAAAATGAATGAATGAAAAATATTTTCGTTGTCCACGAAGATGTTTAGAGATAAATTGTTATCGATAATGAAAATATTTTTCATTGACTTATTATTTCAAGCGATCATTTTTAGGTGAGTATTTTTCAAATCCTTCATTTTTCGCTGAACAAATAGAGCATGTTAACAACTCAGTCACTACAACGTAGTGGAAGGCTCGAGATTCACTCAAGTTCGTGCGTGAATGACATTAGACAAGTCTCGGATGTAAAATTTGTGTAGTATGAAGCGGTTAATTCAAGGTTGAGATGTTGTGCTCATGCTACGGGTCGCGACGCTAGGACACCCAATAAAAGAAGCAACGGTAGTTTAATCTGAAGTGATTTTGCTGTACACTTGTGATTTATTAACAAGAGCAAGCCCACAGAAGCAACAAGCAAAACACACCGTCACGAACAACAGGAAACCCAATTGCTGAAACTTAAAACACAGAGCACAAGAGTTTTGTCTCTCTCAAGCATAGTCCCGAGAAGGGGGTACTAGGGCATAGGAACCAATGAAGATGTCACCGTACACGAGCCCGGCAAGCCCTCCTCCGACGAGCGGGCCGACCCAGTAGATCCAATTCTCAGAGAAGTCGCCGCTGACCACGGCAGGCCCGAAAGAGCGGGCGGGATTCATGGACCCGCCGCTAAACGGGCCAGCGGCCAGGATGTTGGCGCCGATGATGAAGCCGATGGCGATGGGCGCAATGATCCCTAGCGAGCCCTTCTTGGGATCGGCTGCTGTGGCGTACACGGTGTAGACCAGTGCGAAAGTGATGATGACCTCCATAACTAGGCCTGCTATTGAACTCATGCTAGCAGCAACAGTATGGGTTGGTATGCTCTACAGTAAGGATTTGAGTAAGGATTTGAATAGTTATGTACTGGATTTCATCATTAAGCCAAATCATATTTTATACATTGATCCTAGGATTTATTTATGGTCCTGTGCAAGAGTATGTCCCTCGGCGCTAGTAACGAATTTCAGGAGGAGGCAGGCAACAATAGAACCGAGGCATTGGGCGATCCAGTAGAAGATGCCGGTCAAGATGGTGATGTTGCCTCCGACGGCCAATCCGAACGTGACAGCTGGATTCAGATGGCCACCAGAGATGTTCGCCGTGATGGATACCCCCACAAACAGTGCAAACGCATGGGCCACGGCCACCGCGACTAGTCCGGCCGGGTCCAGGGCCGCATCCGACGTGAGCTTGCCTAAGACAACACAAAACATATTCCTTCAAAAGCCGACCAATTATCGGAAACACACAATGGAACACTCAGTATATACACAGACTAATTTCTCGAGAAAGAAACTCGTATGTTTCCTCACCGGCCTTGTTTTGACATCGGTACATGCAACTTAGGGATGGAACGTGCTTAAAGACGTGACAACATCACGCGAATATGTGTCCTCAAAAAAGACGGTCAGTCATGGTGTACTTGCCATAAGCAATTGCGGACCCGACGCCGGCGAACACGAAGAGGAGGGTCGCGATGAACTCGGCGAGATAACATCTCAGAGACCCCACGCTGAAGGAGTCCCCAAGCTACCAAAAGCTAGCTTCACCATGTTTGCTCAAATCAAAAACTATACCAACCACTCATGAGAGAGAACTCGCTCAGTTATGCTTGACAGTAGCAAGCCTGTGCTTCAGTCCGATGAGGAAGACGCACATATATTCTCGTCCTGATAGCATCCTTTTGAATAGTGGTCTTCTTATTTTAACTTATTTTTTAATCTTTCATTAGGCTAATTGAGTATATATTAGCTAGAGATGAAGGAGGGCCACAGCCGGCATCGGCCACGGGACCCAGAAATGCAAATGGCACGCCGTGGTTGGGTGCCGACCAACCGCCGATGAATTCTCAATCATGTAATAATTGGTGATTATGGGCATAAAGACAACCAACTTAACTAGTAATGTACGTACAATAAGACACGTGAATTCTGGTCGCTCTTCGGGGGAGATTATTATATGCTCCGGAGGGAGAATATCCATAGAAGCAAAGGCCCCATCAACCCTAATCTTGTTCTTATGTCATTTTCCTCGGTCACCGGCGACCGGCTAGAGGTCGAAGAAGATGAAGAAAAAAAAAAGGAACAAAAAGGAAAAAATTAATAAGAAAATTTGAAAAAACAAAAATATATACTTTAAAAATTATCACGTCAGTGTTTGCCTGCCGGCCGACCGGCTAGGGTCCACGCCAGCGCCAGCTGACCAAAATTGGTCGGATAGACTGAATTGGCACAAATGCAAAAGGTTTAGAACTGAATTATCACAAAAAAAGGTTTATGACTAAATTGACACAATTGCAATAGGTTTAGGACTGTTTTGGTAATTTTCTCCCAAATTGGTGTCAGACTTAGTTATTTTTCCTTTAAATCAAAATTAGTAGGCTTGGCGAACTATGGTTTGCCCAAAATGGCAAATTGGTTTGGAAAGCTAGAGCTCCACTATCATTGTGGATCTGAAGTAGATCCAATTGCACCTATGACAACTTTTATGTATTTGGCTAGGTGAAGAAGTATCGGTTCCCTAAAATGTTCGAAGCAAAGCTGAAATAGATTTATCGAAGTAGAGCCCAACCAAATATGAATATCAGCAGGTCGACACTATACCAATTTCAACCCATTACTAGCTAGAGGAGACAACCGGGCAAGACCAGCTTTTCTACTGTTTTTTGTGAGTCTGGTTGAATATGAGTTGCCCGAAAATTTAGAGAGCCCAAGAAATTGTTGGTCTCAGTGGGCCCTGTGAACCAAAATTTTAGACCCGCCCTTTGTACCGTGTTGCGATGCGACAGTTCACCCATCGTAGAGGATGCTGCATACACAAAAGTTGTCACCAATCCAGGGGTAGCAAGGTACACGACCAGGCTTCGAATCTTTCAATCAATATACACAGACAGACGGAGCTCCTGTACAATCTAATAAACGAACTGCGCAGATACTGGGGGTAAATCACGTGCGCCGATGGTTTCGAATGTGACATGCCGGGCCATCCATCGAAAAACAATACAAAATAAGACATCTATATCTATCTATAAGGCATGTGATTGAAAGAATGAGCAAGGCTTCCTCAGTCAACAAATCGCCCATGTCTATGAATACTATTATCATACAGAAAAATTTAGTACATGTAATTAACTTCATCGAACCCACGAAACGGAATCGATCTCATCCCGTGCTGCCTTGTATAGTTCGAGCCTCTTGGCGCATTGTAGCCTCCTCTCCATCAATGCCGGGTCTTCGTCCAACATTAGACCCAACTGTTTACCCTGTGAAAGGAATGAAAACCAAAACGATTAAAAAGCAGCCGAATGCTCAAGAACACAATGTGCAGACTCTAAAGGGATTACATTCAGCCTAGACAAGTAATTCCAACTTGACAGTTATTGCACTACATGTTACACCAGCCCACCACTTGTAAGAAGTGAACGGGCTAGTAGCCCTTCCCTACAACAGCAAGGCAGCACATTATCCTAAAGAGTCAAAGACACCCATGAAAAACTAGCACACTTGCATTAATCCACCTAGGTTGACATGCTCTTTTAACACTGGTGCAGATGCTCCAGCTCCCGAAGAAATTGTCTCTACTTTTTTCCCCCTTTTCCTTCTGGATAAGGGGACACTGCTAGACCACACCATTTTGACACATTCCAAGTAAATAGCATTCGCCAGTCGTCTTTCTTCCTTTTTTGGTAGGCATACTTGAAACATCAATCACAGGAGTAACCACAGATCTGCCCTCTGGATAACTCCTCTTTTTATGTCCTATCTGTTTAAAATATTAACACATGCAACCACACAAGCAAGCAACTTGACGTCCTTCCTGTGCGTTTCTCCATGCGTGTGCGTGTAGAGAGAGAGAGAGAGAGAGAGAGAGAACCTCTTTCTGTCCTATTTGTGTGTAAAAGTGATTTAGCAAAGACTGCTTGGCCTCTCTAACTTGACAATAAACCACGGCCTTGGGAATTGTGTTCTTAAGGGTCTCAGACACCATGCCAACATAGGAAGACACATTGGAAGCTATCCTCCTGAAGTGCCCTTCTGTGTAGCGGTCCATTGTTGCTGCAGTAGCGGGATTTCCACCTTTCTCCATTTCCTGGGGAAGTCTACGAAAGAATTCCACTGTCAAGTATGAAGACTCCATATCCACTAAACGTATCACTGTCTTCTTCCCATCCTCCCGGAACCTTTCTAAAGCTTCACCAGCTGCAGCAGCAATTTCAGCTTGCAGAGTTGGGAAGCGCCTAAGCTCCTGTTTCATCAGTGACCACAATTCAACTTAATGTAAAGGGTGGGATTTGAATATAATTATGTCTCTCCAAATTACCTGTGTTTCACCTATTGACTTCCTCACGAGTTCTTTTAAAACAAAATGCACCTGTGATGTAACACTCATGAGTTTCCTAGAAGTATGAAGAATTAGAGGCACCATAAGATTCCACACAAAAAAACTACTTACAGCATCCACTGAGGCTTCAGCTGGGCCTCTAAAGTAGTTCAGAGACCCCTCAATTAAACGCCGGTAACCCTGCTCTGGAGCAATCAGGTGAGGTTGGTAACCATCAGCCTCCGACACGACCTTCTTAACATTATGAACAGAGAGATGCCGATCAAATGGAAGCTTCCTCAAAGCAGCAGGAAGCTGGTTATCAAAAACTCCATAAATACGATCACCTCCTGGTCGCCTGAAAAGGACACAGGAAACAACCAACTTAATAAGGAAATACACAACAGAGAGGACGGAATGAATTTAAGCTTCATGAAATTATTTAATATATGAAGGAACATTCTATTGATCAGCATTTAAAAGTTTCCACTCATAAAAGAAATAAGTAATTTCTAGTTTTTGTCACCAATACAATTTTAGCTAACAATTAATGAGTTACGAATACACCCACGTTCCCATTTACAACAAAAGATCACAGTTGAATATTATCACTCCGTGACCATACTCCATAAACACCCGCATTTCCCAAGTTAACAAAAACATGTACTATGTAAAGCTGAGCAGCTCCAGAATGTCGAGGAACGATATTTTCCTATTAAACTATCACTCCATGACCATAATCCAATTATATATTATCCACAAAACAGCTGCGTGCAACTTGACAGATGAAGTACAACCAACAAACCAATAATAATTTTAATAAAGAAAAGTTCGGTCATTGATACCAGTTTTTTCCATAGAAATTACACAACCAATCATAAAGTATAACAAAAAAGCATAAAGGTTATTCAACCACCAAATGTCATCAATCTGGATGGAGCAAGAGATAAAAAGTGAAGGAATTTACCCTCCATCCAGATGCTCTTTAAAGATCCTGTCAAATGCACGACAAAGCTCCAAGATAGTGTACAATTGAGCCTACAGAAACAGAGTTCAGTTAAATACAGCGTAAGGAGCACCAGTTTAATCAATAATTGCACATTTACACAATACTCACCCCAGCATCGACTGCAATGGGCCTGCCAAGATGATCCATTTCTGATTCAAGTTCATCAATGCTCTTATTAATCAAGGATGTAATACTCGGTATCCGTGCCCTAATTACAGACTCCAGGTGCTGAATCAAGATCACTTTGTTACAAATAAATCCTTCCAAAGTAATAGAACTTCCATGATGATGCAAATAGTGGTCAAACCTTTGACAGGAGCTTTGCAAGATACTCTGAACCCATTTTGCTCGCCAAGTGTCCATAATCAGGACTTGTTGCAAAATATTCACGCTCCTTGCGCCTCGCAATAATCATATCCACATTTTTATTGATATCAGCTTGCGATCGATTCACAATACCAACCCAAGGAAACTGCAGCCGGTAAGATCTTCCTTCGAGAACCTGAGTGCAAAAAGTGCACATAAGAAAACATGTAGGTGGTGATGTTTAGCCCCAAAAAGGGGTGCATGTAGCAAAAGAAATTGCATACAGAATATTCCAAAAGACACAGGCACACTCACGCATACACATGCCCAGGGGCAGAGACAGGCCCATGTGTGCATACAAGCACACACAGACACAGACAGACACGCACAGAGAGAGAGAGAGAGAGAGAGAGAGAGAGAGAGTACATCCAGAGCATTAGTTCCTTTGTCCATCAAATCCAGCTTAGTCAAGACTCCAAATGTCCGTTCACCTGATGAAAACATCTTTGTGAATTATGACTAATAACATCCATATCGGGAAAAAAAATTTAGTAACTGTCACCAGACAAGCAGACCATACCCATCGGATCCACCTCCCTGGCAAGCTTGATCGCATCTGAAGTGGCAATATCCTGATTCGCAGGAGATATTGCTAGTATGATGCAATTAGGCTACAAAAAACACAAGTCTAATCATATATTAAGCATTAGTGCAGAAGCATTAACTTTATAATCATCTCCATCTCAGCTATTTTCAATGCCCAATAAACATGCCAAAAATATGAAAACAAGTCAATCCAAAGATTTGAACAAAAATGATCTACAACTGCTTAATTCATCATAACTCTGATCAAGCTGTTTCACAAAGAACATATTCACTTGTATATACATAACCAGTTCCCATAACATAACCTTGAGTAAATAAAGCAAATAGAACCTGAAACTCTTATATTCTAACTCCTGAACAAGTTACAAGGCAAACCAAAACTGCTTCCCCAAAATTATCACATCCTTTTGCGGGTGCTTTTAACATTAGCTACAAACCTGACGATGTGCGTGCACTGGAAAGAAAAACTAAGACAGCTAATATTTTCCTTCAACTCGATCAAAAGTTATGCCCGATAAAACAGCCGTATACATTGCATAGCACAATACAATATGGTCATGACCATTTGAAAACTTCAAAGTAAACATAGTGCATCTAAAAAATTGGCAACATCTCATTACCTTGTCAACATATGATCGAACCATGTTTTCAATGTCTTCAGCAATAGTTTCAGGCTGTCCCTCTGAAGAGGAAAAATCTCTCTTAAGTACAAGGAAAACATATTGGGTAAAAATTTAATGCTAAGTTAAACTAAACAAGAAACATACCCACAGCAACCTTCGTTAAACCAGGCAAATCAACCAGGGTTAAGTTGACAACTGCAGAAAAGACAAAAACAAGAAGTTCAAGAGAAGCAGATAAGATAGAGTTGCAATCATGCCAAATTTAAGAAATAGATTTATCAGAAACACAATTAGCAATTGTATCATACCCCAAAAAGAGCAAATAGAGGCTTAATAACTAAGAAATCATATCTAAAGGTTAAAAATAAACGTGAATCGGTCATTTTTACATACAAAACTGGAAAAACACAAAACCTACATTTTGCCTGATCAATTAGATGCAACTCAGTCTTTTTCTCTTAGTATAGAAAAGAAAAAACCTGCATTTTGGGACGACGACAACATTCAATCCTAAAAAGGAATGTACATCGGCAGTCAACATAGCATTTTGAATTACACAGTTAGATAGCAAGAAATTAATTATAGGAGGAAGAAACAACAAAACAAATGATCAACGGAATAACATCTTGTACATCATTTCAAGAACAAAATACGAAAATAAAACCAGCAAGCAGGCAACAAATACTAAAGCTAAAGAAACCACACAAAAAAAAAAAAAAACCCATGTTTTATCTCTTACAACCACAAATAGGACCTAGTGCTGCGAAATTCTACGAGTGCAGCATAATGAAGAAATACAGCAAAGTATCTATTGCAACTTGCAAGAACGCAAGCTCAAACATACCATTTGGAGAGTATATACTAAGATGAATTGGAACAGGAGATATCTGCTTCGACCTCCCAGTAACCCTGTCAGTTTCATCCTGAATTTCCTTCCGGACGAGGGCTGAAATTACAAGACCAATTATGGAGTCAGGATAAGAAATAGAGCAACAAACAGGGAGGAAAATCATGATTTTATCAATGGATGGGCAGAAACTGGAAGATGACACTAAAAATAGTAATGCGCACAGAATAAAAGGTCCATCCTTATATGTTCATTCTAAATGGAGCACGAGAAATGGAGAATATTATGATATAAACATGTCGCCTAAATCATTTTAAAATTTCAAGCAGACATAAAACAAGTTACAAATCAATCCATGCGGAAAATTGTTAGAAAACAGGAGTGGCATAGCTCAACTACTTTCACTTAAGGTCTAGGTAAGAAAGCGCAATCAGTTCTGGATAAAAAAGACCAATTTTAAGGGGGGGTCACTGTCCCCACACTATTGTCCTAAAAGATGTCACTCGGGAAAGATGACTGAACAGAGAGCGATTCCCATTTTAAACTAATAAAGCACAAATATTCCCGAGCTATGCTAAACACAATGGAGGACTGTCAATGGAACCAGCAGCTAGCGAATTTCAATAATTGCCAGAGTGCACCAAAACTTGCGACAGATTAGAAAATAGAGACAAGGACTCCAATCTTCTCTCATACTGGCTCACAGTCTCACTTCTACGTGACACCAGAAACAGATTGTAGCTCCAACGGTAAGACAAGGTATGAAACGACTTTGTGGAGGCAAAAAAAAAAAGGTAGAAAGGACAACTAAGCTATAGTAGTCCTTTGTAAACAAGACTCAGGGATTTTATCGGCCGGAACTCAAAAAAATACCAAGTCCTAAATAGTCATTTCAATATTAGTTAGAGAAACTTTGTCCTCAATAATTGGATAGTTACTCTTCACATGTTGCAAATTAGGGGCACTTTATCCATCAACGCAGTTCAACGTGCTGAACTGAGGGCAAAATTGATTCGGTACCCCAGAAACGAAGACGCAACCAAACCAAGTACATTACATTGATCAAAATTGAATCAGAAGGCAAAACAGTCTGTACCGAAATCAGAAAATCTCCTCTTGGGCAGATGAAGGAACTCTGCATATTCCGGTGCTCCATCTTCCGTCTTGTGAAGCTGCAGGACCAAAGGCCGCCTCGTCACGATACCTGCCCATCATCGCAAAAAAAGAAAAAAAACAACAACCCTCAGCAAACAATCAGACAAAGACCCGCCTGCTAATTCGTATCGAATGTCCCGAATCGAATCAAAACGGGGGGCCGAATGTTTCGACCGACGTACCAGATCCTCGGGGTAGAAAGTCTCTGCCCACGATGCTCTCGAGAACCGAAGATTTCCCCGAACTCTGCACTCGAAAACGCAAATTGAACAACCGGTCAGACAATCAGTCCCCCCTCCCTGAGTCGAACTTCCATGACCCAACAGTTAAACACTCGTCCGCCAAGAGAAAACATTCCCCACTCGACATCAATCGTGAGCACATCTAAGCTCTCGCAGATCCATCGTGTTTTGCTAATTTAGACTTGACTATACCCTGTCAAATCCCTCGCTTTCTCTCTCCTCCCTTGTTAAAAAAAAAAAAAATTGGATTTCCCGTTTCGCAAGTGGCTCGCGAAATTGACCGCCCCCGTCTTCCCTCTCTCATCATAAAAAATAGAAAGAGACATTCCTCCTGATTCTCCTCCGCCAAAAAAAAAACACCATAACCGATTTCCCGAAGGCCGAGCGCGAAGAAATCTAGAGAGAGAGAGAGGGAGGGAGGGACCTGTCCGCCGACGACGGCGACGGAGGGGAGCGCCTCCCAGAGCGAAGAGAAAGCGCCGTTGTCCCCGCCGCCGTAGTCGCCGAGCGCCGTGCAAGCTCGCTGGATCCGATTCACCAGCCCGATCAAGCTCTCCATCGTCGCCATCGCTACCCCACCCACGCCCACCCACCCACACCAACCTCCCTCCCTCCTTCAACACCGAGCTAAGCCCCGAACTCTACCGCCACCAGTACTCCTCCAGAAGCCAAAACCCTAGAGCTCGCGCGGACGTGGAGAGAGAGAGAGAGAGAGAGGAAGGAGAAACCGGAGCTTTGACTTGAGAAGAACGCGAAGAGAGAGATGGCGCTCGCGTGGAAGCCTCTCTCTCTTTTGTCGGGTTAGCTGGCGGCGGAACGTCACGGGGCGGTGCCGGGTGATATAATGCGCCGGGGTGCGCATTTTCGGAGTGGGTGGGGGGGCTGGGGTGGGGCCCGATCCGGTGCGGTCGTCCCCACCTGGGAGTGGTGGGGGGGCGGTGGAATCGTCGTCCGCGTTTTTGCCCCCTTTTTGAATTTTTGAACCGGGCAAAATCGTTCGGGGGCGCGTGGGGTCCACAACCACAAGCTTTGCTGATTTTTTGACTAGACAACCGTTGCCCGTCCGTAACGGATCTCTTGCTATGTAAATTAAATTTGGAATTGAAAAAAAATGAAAAGGGGTAACTACGCGGAAGGTGCGTGCTTGAACTTTTGGCTCAACGCGCGACGTTGTTTCTTAAACTATATTAATTCGTTCAATGTGATTCTCTAACTTTATCTTAATGCTCAATATGGTCGCGAAACTTTTAATTTATTCAACACGCATCCATGAACTTTTGATTCGATGCGATCCATGGATTTTTGTACGTTGCTCAATTTAATTGAACGCATGAAGATGCTCGATGTGAATAAATTAAAATTCAGATTACGTCATCGAGAATTTTCAATTTTGTTCAACATGATCCATGAACTTTTTGGTTCGATGTGATCCATGGACTTTCGGTACGTGTTCAATTTAATACACGAACTACATGAGAATGTTCGATATTGAATAAATTAAAAATTCAGCGATTACATTGACATTAGGTTTAAAGTTCGGAGACAACGTTGAAGAAATTAACAGTTCAGAAATCACGTTGCATATTAGGTTAAGGTTCTGGACAGGTTAAAATGCAAAAGTGGAAAATTGAAATTGGAAACTTTTTTGTTTTTTGGTCAATGAAATTGGAAAATGGAATTATTTTTTTTTTTTTGGAGCCGGGAGCCGTCAAAGTTGAGCGGCTGAGAAAGAACGGTCGTGACCAAGAACAAAAAAACAAAAGAGAGAGAACGGTCGTGAGTTCATTGGTCCAGCCAAGCCAACGGGAAGGAAGCTGAGGAATATTGTTTCTTTTTCATTTTATTTTTTTTTGTAATTTGTGGAAACTTAGGTACATATATAGCTTCTAGAACTATGCTAATTCATTTTTTTCTTCCCAATCTTGTCCCTACACATAGTTGTGGACCGACCTTAGATTTTTCCTCTCTTTTTTTCTTTTTTTGCTTAATGTAAATCTTACGACTTACTCCTGGAATTTTGACGGCACTCAAAAGGTTAACACGTAAAGCCGCGTATTTATTTTCGTAATTTCCTAGAAATTCCAATAATATTGTTAAGCTTTTTTTTTTGGCCGGAAAAAAAGAATCATTTTCGCTTTTTATTTAAGTCCAAGCAAACATGCTCTGAATTTATCCTGGAGTCTATTGTGCTTGAAATTTGTAACGTGTTTAATTTCTCTTTACAACACGTATATGTTGGATGATGGCAATTCTAGCTGCACATTAAGTTCACAAGAATAGTAATTGTTTTCTCTAGCAGTTCCTGATGAAAAAATTATTTCCTCGTTTTATAGTTTCTGTCCCATCAATGTCCGAAAAAACCAGTGAGTTCTGTCGTGCTTGCATTGGGCGAATCTTTTCTTTTTTCTTCTTGTTGGTCGAGAATAAAATAGGCCTAATTAAAATTTAAAAAAAATACCAACTTTACCTTGAGCGACAATTTTGGCTCGAATTTTTTTTTTGTCTCATAAAAAATTACCAACTTTCACTTAAATCTCAAATCTGATCCGAACAATTCGAAAATTTCACATCATGGGGGTCAGATTTGGGACTACAGTAAAGTTTGTGCTTTTTATTGAGACAAACAAAAAGTTCGAACCAAAATTGTCACTCAAGATAAAATTGGTTTTTTTCTTTTGGAATTAGCCCGAATAAAAATACTCATTTGAAAAGCTTGAGACTGTGCATACACCATGGAAGCACCCGAACATAAAAAAATCCCAAAGGGCTTGATCTTAGTGATTTGACTCCATTTCCATATGCACATCGGATTGCATTTTGAAGGAAAATTAGGGTTTCCAAAGGATTTATAGCTTCAGCTTGAGTTTGCAGGCAAATTTGATTCATATACTTTCATATGAGAAATCACGAAATCATTTACTATAATTAGCGTATATACAAAGTTATCTCAAGGTTTGTTGTCCTTGAGTTTTACGGTATGTTTAATTTCTCTTAGGAACACAGGTACTTATGGCAACTCTAGCAACTCATTTTTTGGTTTGCAGGAAACAATTATTACCTCATTTGGTTTTATTATTTTGATATTTAAAGAGATATTATAAACTTCGAAAATTCATAAGCTTGACAAACGATTTCGCTACATCAAACCAAATACATATAATATGCTTGACAACATAATCACAAATTAAACAAAAAAAAATTGATCGTTGTAAGTAATTGAATCCAGCAAAAGCTCGAAAGAATGAAGGCGGGGCAACGCAACCTCGTTGTAAGTAATTGGGCTCTAGCGCATGGAATGGGCTAGTGCTCATTTCAATTTTGGGCTGAAGGGTTTTAAAATCTGTTGATGTTTTGCTAAAAATTTGAAATTGGTTTCTCCTCTTTGTTTATTTATATATTGGTCTGTCATTTATTATTCTTCGTCTCATTTTGTTATTGTTATATATATTTTACTAGGAATGCATGTTCGCCTCGTCAGAGAAAATTATAGGTGTCAACAATCTCTCTTTTGGAAAGGCCTGAAAACCCTAATCGGGTTAATTTGGTTAGTGGGAATAATTAGGCTAATCGTCCCCATATTAACAACGTCGACAAAAACAATGTGGCAAATCAAAGTATTCCACAAGTGGGGCATATGACAAATAATGAAAATATTCGGCCCTTAGGGGTAATACCAAATGTGGTTAATGAAAGACCTTTTGGTCTACTTCCATCTCCAAATATAAGGAATGCACCCCATAGGCTTAACTTGCCAGTTGGTCATAACGTCGACAACCAGGACCTCGATCATGACCCTAGAGGGCAAGAAGGTCGGGCTTTTCCACCTATCTATCCTGAACCTAGGGGGCAAACAAGGTCAGATATACCAATTTCCAGATATTCAACAAATCGACAGGTACGATTGCATAACGAATATCTGCTGATAGAGGAATTGTTAGACCAGTATATTGAAAACTGCATTTACTTGATGTACCAATCTATCTCCTAATTTAATCCATACTTGGGCTGAGATAAAAGGACAATTCCATCCTCAATTTTGTAGGGCAATACCTGAGGCATCGATCGTTGATTTGGACAGAATCTATCAATACGATAATGAGTAGGTTGATTTATTTGTTGGTCAATTCAAGAGGGCTAGAGATAGATGCCTTACTTCACTCTCAGAGAAAGAATTCATGAGTTTGGCTTCCAGTGAATTAAAATTCAATCTTGGAGAAAAATTCAAAGGCCATAATTTTGCCGATTTATTCCAATTGGCAACGAGAGTGTTTAGAGGGTCACATGAAGACTTTACACAAAACATGCCTTTTGTGGAGAAATATGAGTCACATGATGAGTCTGACCAAGATAAAATTTGTTAAGGAAAAATCAAATTTGTTGACGACAAGAGCACATGGGATGACTCCAGATTGATGGGCCTGACCCTGGAAATGGGTACGTATTGTTTCCTCGGTTGCAATGCCCAGCATGACCATCCCCTGTGAACATGACATGTATTTAGCAAAACCGTTTCACATATGCAATTAATCTTGGATGTTTCTGTAACGAGCTCCAAACCTATAGAAATTTTCTTTGACAAAACGCAATCCACTCAGGCTCTAGAGAAGCAAGAGACCTGACATAGTTCCATATGGCAATACACAACGAGTAGACCAACAACAAAGGGGAATGAGATCACTATAGGGAGGTAAATATCGTCTGGCCTGAGAAAATCTTGACCAGGAAATAGGGGCGTCAAATGGGGGGATCGGGTCGGGTTTGGAGTGTCTGAAAGCTATAGTCTAAGAGCCAAAGGCACGAGGTTGCGGACCTTGAAAAGTTCCTCAAAATGTTCATATACCCACTGTAGGGTTTCTCAGGTGCTAAAAACGCAGCGGAATCTATAAATCGAAACCCTAGATAGGATCATGTGTATATTGAAATTTAAACAGAAGTTCGACACGTGCCTTTTACGGATCAAAAGTAAATTGACAATCGATTGTGTCCGGATTAGCGCCCAAGTGTTGCGCCTCTACCGGTATCCACACACACGAATGAAAGTCTCCAACGATCCAAGTGCTAGCTAAAGATCTTGGACTTCTTTTTCCGATCACCTTTGATCTTCGAGACTCTCTCAAAGATCTCCGAACAGAGAACGATTCTCTTCGTATTCTCTTGAAGGCGTTTTTCTCTTTCTTAGGGTTTTTTTGTCACCCACATGCTATATATATATATATATATACATACATATATATATATATCCTCATTATCTACGCGAATTAAAGAAGTGGGGCGGGCGATTTGGGCCCGCCAAACTGTCCACCTTCAATCGTACGTTTAATCGTTATCTCATAACGTGCACGACTGCGTAGATAAATAGGAGAATAAATTAAAATCTACTTTTTATTTTAAGTAGATCCCGCCACGAGAAAATATTAACTCGGTTCGCTATTGTGTGCGACCTGTAGAGATCACTAACACCCACCACAAAGCACATTGCCCTAAGCTTATTTTCTTATGAAGGTTCAGTATAGTATGCTCTACAGAGCAGATCTATGAGTTCTATGAGGAAGGTGTTTTCAGTCGGAAGT